TGTGTTACACTAGTGGTTCCCAACCTGGGGGTCGGGACACCCAGTAGGGTTCGCCAAAGCTTTTCAGGGGGTTGCGAGGCTTTCTTGATTTCAAGGGGTGAAAGAAAACCTTAAAAATATACACAGTAAGCCTATATCTCAGCATTTCATTCATTTCTGTGAAGAAAACCAAATTATAGCCTACTGTTATTATTCATATTTTATTATTTATAAATTAGAAAACTTTGAAGACCGGAACACAAGCTATAGTTTGCCTTGTCCTGCATTAGAAAAAGTATGGAGGAATAATGGCCAAGTGGGAGGAAAAAAACACTGAATTAGTCAAAAAGAGGAAGCCTATTAAGTATGTATGATTGTTAGAAATGATATAAATACATAATACAGACAGAGAATTGTATAAAATGTCCCTAAAATATCAAGAAAACTTGTCTCTGGTCGATATTCCACAGAAAATAATCTGCTCACGATTCATCCAAATCACTTGTTTTACACAAACTTCCTGCAGTTATTGTGTTCACTACTTGGGTTAATTTATTGTTGTGTGCTGATGTTGTTTTGCATCGAATATAATATGAAATATGGTCACGTAGTCAGTCATCTGTTTCACTTAATGATAGAAAAGGGGGTCCCTTAAGGAAAATGGTTTGGAGCCACTGTGTTACACTGGTGACACTTCCAAAGGAAGTTTTAAAAAATATATAGATTAAAAACTTTGTAATATAATGACAACATCTGCAGCAGCTCCTGAGGTTTCTCTAAAAGACAGCAGTCCCCGGACTGACTCACACTGCAGCTGACTAATCGACTCACTGGCAACACCTGTCAGCATCTGATCACAAACATCAAACACATAAAAGAAGCAAATGGATAATGTCTTAATTTAAGACAAATGAGCTCTGTTTACACAAGTCAAACATCCGCACGGAGAAAACATCATGGGTAAGAGAAGACTTTATTTTTTACTACCAGTGAATAAATGTCAGATACAGCAAGTAGACACTGTTTGGAGACAATCATTGGATTATTTTCCTGCAACCATTTATAGAGGTCAACTTTTGTTAATTCACTTAGAAATTAAAATATTATGTTTCCTCTAATCTGATGCTAGTTAACAAACACTTATTTCCGAGCGATTTGTGTCGCGACCCCATAATTCAAACAGGAAAATAAGCGAGACATTCACCTTCTTTTAATCTGAAGGTTGTCTCATCCATCTCCGGGGGGGAAAAAAAGCCCTCCGATGAGCCGTTCTCTAAATTCCACTATATCTTCAGCTGGGCCCTTAAACCTGAATTACATCCAGTCTGGCTCATACAGAGGTGCTGCTGTGCCAAGCACCATATACCTGTAATTGAATTCTGATTCAATCATAGCGCAATACATCATCATCATTATAGCTGCCTCCGAGGCCCAAATGAGTTCAAGGGCTCGCCTCAGACAAGGTTCATGTTCATCCTTTTTTTATTATTTTTCGACTATCAATGCCTCAGAACACACTCTATGACTGCTTTAGTCCGTCTATTAAATATAAAGTTTTTTGACATCTCAAACCTTCATTTAATTACATTCTGCCCTCAGTTAATTAGGTTTACAATGTTAAAAAATCTTCTAAAAAAAAAAACTCATTATAGGCAAACAGAGAGAATCCAAGGCTTATTTGAAACGATTAGAAAATATCATTAATCATAAAGTAAAAATAAACAAAGACTAATTTGAATTCCCTGAATGGTTCCACTCTCTGCCTCACATATTTTCTGTATTTGTCCTCTCTTGTCTCGGTTTGCCCTTGAGGAAATCTTAAGTCCGTTTGAACTGCTTTGTGAAATCTAATAGACGTTCTGAGTGCGCGCAAGGACAGCAAAAAGGCTGATTTCTGTTTACTAAAAACATACATAAACTAAAATCAAGATTGAGTCTTTCCTTTTCACATAACTGATCTGCATTAGTTTAGCCTCTTTAAGCCAAAGCCCAAATGGAAATATAATTGTATATATGCATTTGACCTATGAAAAGATAAGGATTTATTTTCATTTCTTTCATTGAGCTGTAAATCACATAGGGTCAGCGGAGGTGAGTGAGTTTTTAAAGAAATATTTTAATAGTTTAGGTTCATTTTATTTCTCTCTGTGTGATGAGCAGATTTGATATATGTCTCATGTTTATGTTCTAAAAAGCTGTAGTCATGTTAGTTCCACTTAAAGATTAGAGGCAGAGCCAAACAGCTAACTCGTCTCTGTCAAAAGTAACAACAGGCTACAGACTAAAAGCTCTAAATCCTTATTTTTTGGGGTATTTGGGGTTTCAGTTGTGTTTTGAGACCTGAATGTTTTTCCTTGGATGGCGAACAGATGAAATAGTCGTCCAATTTTTACTAATACTTCACTCAAACTGCCTACAGTTACCATGTAGCTGTCTCACCCTATAGTCTGTGGGCCAGTAATTAAGCTGTTGATTCATAATGACCCTGAAGTGGAGCTAGATAAGGAGCGAGCTAGATAAACTACACCAGTCACCTGTGCAGTGTTTCTGATGCTGGATGTGATTGGTGACAACAGGTTTTAGTCTCTGTACAGGCAATGTCAATGTGATGGACGTGAAGACCTCAGGACGTTGTGCACAATCACTGCACCTGGCTGTTAGTGAAGAAACTGTTTCAGCACATAATTCCCCCGAAAAACTAGAAAAACTAAGATACCGTCGTTAGATAAACATGGTAAAAATATCTGCTAAGCACCAGCCCTGCTAGCATTGTTACTGCGAGGATGTTAGCATGCTGAGCTAAAGGTTAAAGGGTCGCGGTCCCTTACCCTACAGAGCTGTTAGCATGGTTGTAGACCTTTAGTCTTGTTATATTTCTGTTTTATGGATGGGTGAGACGGGTTACATCAGTCGGTCATTCAGCTAACCAGCGCTGATCCATAAAGCCGTTTAGAGGTGTTGATTGACTTTTTCCAAAAATGTTATGAACTATTCCTTTCAGGTGAAACTGAAGAGAAAAGCTTATATAACTCTGTAATTAATCATATATATTGACTCCAGCGCTGCCTTCAAGTGTCTTAAAACGACAGATTCTTCGACATTTGTGCTGAAACTGGTGAAGAGGCAGAATGAATCTTTTCATTAACATTTAATAATTGCTTTTTTTAATGGATTCAAGCCTTTTGCAGTGTCTGTATTCATTCTCACAGATGATTTCCTTTAGAACAGATGTGTGGTGGTTTCTGTTTGGCAGGTATACGGAGTCTGTGGCCTACATATTGATCACCGAGCTTGTGAATCACAGCCAATTCTGTTTGTCCATAGTTAATGTCAGTGGATCTGTGTGCAGCTTCAGCACACCTTCACACTAACATAGTTCCATTTTCTCCGTGGAGCAGCTACACTAATTAGAATGATTGTTACCCAGTTTAATTGGCTCTGTCAGTGGCAGTCTCAGGAGTCACAGGATGCTCGCAGAGGTAATTGCATATGAGAGAGAGAAAAAGAGTTGATGATGAACTCTGACAAAAACTTACCAAAAAACCTGCGCTACCCAGGCAGAATAATGGGCTTCCTATCTTTTTTCAATTACAGAAACTGAATAAGGGCGGTAATGAAGAATTAGTGCAAAGTCCAAAAAGGTGTTTACAGCAGGAAAGTCATAGAAAGGAAGTAAGTTTTCAGACTCCACAGGGAACAGTTTTAATCATGAAAACCAGCTATATACACGGAGCATGTTTATTCGATTGGTTTCTTCATATTAAATCTAAAACAATATTTAGCCTTATCTGAAAGACAATCTGTGATCCAGAAGTAAATTTCAAAACAAACGACTGGAATCTGCAATGATCCCGGTCATTTGATACACGGACTAACGTTAGAAACCAAAATGTTTTTTGTAATGCAGGTCTGAGCATTTCAGTGAGGATGAGCTGAATAAATGTCTTGTTTTGTCCAACCAATGCTCCAAAACCCAAAGATATCACATACAATTATAAAACACAATATCTGTATATTGTAGTATATTGTTTTACATGAAACTGCCTCAAAGTATATAAAGTAGTTAAATTAGCTTAATCCTGATCAGCTACAACATTAATAATAATTTATTCTTTGTGATTATCTATAACTTCTGCATCACCACAATCTTAAAATTCCTTAATATTTCTGTCAGCACATACTATGGAATATGTTTACATTAACATGTACTTTGTATATAGGCTGTTCTTATCTTATTATATCTCTTAGACTATTATATTTTTATTTGTTTTATTTTTATTTTTACTTACTGTGTTATATGCATCTACCTATACATACATTTCTATACTATATATTTCAATATAAGTATTATTTCTATTCAACTTTGAGTGAGTAGAACAACTGTAACAAACTAATTTCCTCCCAGGGATCAATAAAGTGTTTCTGATTGTGATCTGATAAAAATCGACTTACATGTTAAAGCATTACTACATAACATTAATTCAACAATATGTAAAACAAAAACTGACATTGATGGTAGGCCTTCATCCCCATTACAATCTAAAAGTTTGTATTTGTGTGTATTTGGCCAAAAATTTCTTATGTGACTTCTGAAGTAGCTACTGAGAACTAGTCTCTTCCATCTCCAAAGCGAGGAAATCAAATAGTTTGAACTTGAGGCCCTCTGGTTCCTCTGAAGTGCATTTAAATTCTTTCCAGGACTTCGATTTGTTTTCACATTATTTATCACTGTGACAACAATCTCTCCGCAGTGTCTACCACCTGGAAAACATCCCTGATAGAACAGAGACGTGACGTGTGGAGTGCTCTTGTGGACTCAAACCGAGGCCTCCTGGCAATGTTTTAGATGCACTTAAATGAACTGGACTGAAGCCAGGAGCTGAGAGGTAAACACACGCATTAATATTTTGACATTACGGTGTCAGTGCAAACGGCAGGCTTTTATACAAGGAATAAACATCTTAAAGCAAAACCTAACAGTGTTTTTTTAAAAGCATTATTCTAATGAAATATCACCAACACTTAATTCAGCTAGCTTTATTATGGCACTTTGTACATGTCACGTTACAAACTCAACATTCAGGGTTTCTTGGTTCATACAACACATGAAGAGAACATTGCATGTTTATTTAAAAAAAAAAAAAAAGAACAGAAGGGATCTGGAAGCTGCTTAAGTTTCACCACACACACACGCGCAAGAAAATACCTGTGTAGGAGTGATAGTTTATCCGAAATGTTGTCAAGCCATAGAGCTCAATAGTTTCGTGTCATTGTTTTCACATTGGTCAAGTCATATAATACACACATGCCGATATGTACCTTGATGGAGTCTTGGACTCTGTAATCACTTCTCCTCTCCGAAAGCAATTTCAGTAAAAGTGATGGAGGGTAATGACTTCTCTTAAAGGTCCAGTGTAACATTTACGAGGCTCTATTTGCAGAAATTGAATATAATAATCATCAGTATGTTTATATCAATGAATAATCACCTGAAAATAAAAATGGAGCCTGTTTCTACACTTGGGAGGGTGAGGTGAGTTGGATGCAACCGCTGGATGCCACTAAATCCTACACACTGGTCCTTTTTAAATGTAATTAAAACCCTATATTAAACTAGCTAGTCGTCCCCCCCCATCACTTTTATTACTGTGTTAGAGAGAAAAGGATGACCAAGAACTCTTTCACTGTACATGTGGGGCATCTGGGTATTTTCTAAGACAGATTTCTAAAAATGTGAACACGTCCTTTGCATTATGCAAGAATGTGAAGCAATTCATGTTTTTACCCCAATTAATTGTATTGCCAATATGCAAAAGTATTGTAATTAGGGGGAATATTGAGTGGAATATTAGCAAATTTACCCAGACTCCTGGGATTGATCTGGGTGGTAGATTGGCGGGCTTGCCGTTTAATTTTAGCTTGCTTGCTAATGTTTTATGTAGCAAAATACAACTGGCTAGCCTGCCAAATTACTTCACCAGCTCACTTGATCCATTATTTATTACGACAAACCGTGTTGATATGTAAAATAATTGTTTTATACTAGCCAAGAGCGAAGCAATGTAGGGGGTGGCCAACTAACTGTAATCTAAGCTAAAATGAGTTTGGCCAGCTGGCTGTGGCATTGGCTGATGGTGATTTGCAAACGACAAGCCAGTTAGTATCGTAGAGTCAAAATGTAGGAACATTAGATAGTAACGTTGTTCTAAATATATTTGTACTTTATTTTCCAGCATATAGTGTTCAGTCCCGTGTCACCTCTCTGATTTGGCCGATGTCTTTCTTTAAAGGCCCAGTGTGTAACATTTAGGAGGATCTATTGGCAGAAATGGAATATCATAAGAATAGTTGTCTTTGTTACCTTAGAAACCCGTTTATATCTACAAATGTCAGGAAATAGTGTGAAATGTCTGTTACAATCTTCTTAAAACCCATAAGCATGTCTTCAAATTGCTTGTTTTATCCAAAACTTCCAGTTTACCATCACAAGACAAACAAAAGAACAAAACCATCATAATTGAAAAGCTGTAACCAGCTTTTTCTGCTTAATGAATAAAATATAAATCAATTATAAAAATATTTGCTGATAGTTGCTGATTCAGTTTCAATTTATCGACTCATTGTTTCAATCCTAATGTGAAATCTGTGCATATTGGGATATCTCCAACCCACGAGACATCAATAAAGCAAAACCCTGATTATCAGAAAAAACAGACATCTAGTACACACCTCTTCCTTTGCAGTCAAAAATACAGATATGTGCAAGGAAACTGTACAAAACCCATAACTGCACATAAAAGGAGCATCTCAGTTGGTGTATGTAAACATACACTGTGACATCCATCCACACATACTCTGTGCACAGCATAATTCTACACACAAACAGATCTGGGTTCCCAGGGATCGACGGTAAACAGGTTGCATTGAAGTGCTACGATATCTTTCGTTGGCACACGAGGAGTTACATTTACAGTATTCACATCTGAGGTTAAATAATCACTTGTCATGCGTTTCCTAAAAACAAACAGTTTTGTAAAAAATAAAGGTCTCACATTCCATTTGGATATAGGTTTGTTTCGTTTCTGTCCATGTGTTGAAATTAGATTCATGGTTTAGCAAAAAGAACAGTTTCAAATGGCATTCACTTAACTATATATATCAATTTCTCCCGTTGAAGTATGATTGGTTCTTATACTGTACAGGATGCATGAGCAGGAAGAATTAACAGGAAGCATTCTGCGATTGGCATCGAGTTAAATAAAACTGTAAAACAAAACAAAAATAAACATGCTACTAAAGGTACTCCAACAAGAGTCACAATAAAGCTGACTGACTGAGCAATCCTCTGAGTCGGATCCCAAACCTGACACACTCTAGTGAACAATGCAGCTAGAAAGAGTGACAGCGTGAGGAATAAAACGCTTCTTAAAACTAAAAACTTTCATCTGTCTCTCGTCTTTTGAAGTCAATAAATAAATTAAAACCAAACCTGAATAAATATGAGGAAGTGACCGTAAGACTGTGATTTTTGGGCATTTAAACGGCCTCGGGCCAAGAGAGCTGTCGATCTGCTGCAACACCCCAGATAAAGAGGTATTCCTCTGACATCATCCTCTCCCTTTGGTGCCTCAGTTTATGGCTGTCTGACCAGCCCTGCAGCAGTCTCATAGAGGGAGTTCAGCAGACCCCCAGGCTGGCCAGCAGGCCTTTGTGGGGGAAGGGGGATCAGCTCAGTAGGAGAGGACTGGTGCAGGATTTGGGTGGGTTGGCTGTAAAGTTCTTCTGGAGGATGATGGGTGGGGGTAAGCTTAGGTCCGCACCCAGCTGACAGGCACCCAGAAGGACTCCCGCTCCAGCCTCTCCAAGATGCCTCGCAGTTCTGCACAGGCACTGGCCGAGTCCTCCTTGATCAAGACCCGGTCCACCAGGTGTCCATACTGCTGATCAATCTGAATGGCAGACTGACGCATCTCCTGGAGGTCTTCGTCCTGTTGCAGAAAGCAAAATGAAATAATTTATACCGAAAGAGAGAGACAGGATCACACTGACCACCTTACTCACCAGGTTTAGCCCTAGCTGTGTACCGATACAGACGCAGGAACCTCTGAGGGATCTTCAATGAAATTGAAGTAGCAAATCACTGTTTTTTTTAAAGATTCTTTTTGGGGGTTTTATAGCAGCTGAAGAGAGACAGGAAAGTGGGGACACAGACAGGTGGGAAGACATGCAGCAAAGGGCAGCAGGTTGGAAACAAACCCAGGCCGCTGCAATAAGGAGTCAGCCTTATTGCAACGGGGCACAGGCTCTACCGGGGGAGCTGCCAAGGCGCCCTGCAAATCACAGCCTTTGAGTAATAAGTTGTGATACCTGTTTTAATGGACAACTTTAAAATAATCTCTGTTCACCTTTTAAATACATCATTTTGGCTGTTCACATTACAGACACAAGTGGCCCAAATCCGATTTTTTTTCATGACAGTCACACTGGAGCATCACAGCATCGTGAACTGTTCACACTGGAATCAGATATGGGCCACATTTAAAAAAAACGTGAACAGCCAAACAAAGTTGCAGTGTGAATTTAGCCTTTGTCTGTACTGTAGTTTGGGCTAAAGATGCCATCTAAACCTCTGAATTGGGACACAGCTATTATACTGCCAAGAGAAAACTCAGGACTTACTGTAACCCGGCCATGCTCTCCCCCTCCTGGTGAGGTGGCAGCGCTGCGGCGACGTCTGCTCTCGGGAACACGAGGTTTGACAAATATTACATAGGGCTTGAACTCCGCTGTCCGCAGTCTCTTTAGAGCCTGGAGTGGTGGAGGTTTTACATGCAACAGAGCAAATGGAGGTCAGAAATCCGACATGATAGGGGAAAGCCAGCAGTGATGCATCAGACACTGCACACAGTGAGCAGATCTGAAGTGACTGCGTGCCCTCATCCACTAAGGCACTCAGCAAACTGCTGCTGTTTGCAGGATCTGTAGTTCATGACATGTTATGATCCCCTTACCTCAGGCTGCACGTCCACTATACACATCTTATTCTTGGCCTGTACAGAGCGGATAGCTTCTATACTTGTGCCATACTGGTTCTCCTTATATTCCCCGTGCTCTATGAACCTGGGGGGGGAGACAACAAGACTTTAAGTTCAGCTGGAGAATCATATATGTACAAAAGCAATGCAGCATCAGCATAAACGTACTTGTTGTTTAAAGCGTCTGCATCAAATTGCTGTTTGGTGACAAAGTGGTACTCCACACCTTCCTTCTCATGAGGTTTCTTGGGTCTTGTGGTATCTGTGGGAACACAAAAGAGGAATTTACTTATCTGTGTATGTAATATCAGGGCATTGATAAATACAGAGTGTTTAAATGGGTAACTCACGTGGTACAGCCACTGCAAAACGATGTGGGTTTTCAGCAATCACCCGCTGTTTGAGTTCATTGATTCGTGCTCCAAGAGAACCTTTGCGATTGTGTTTTTAAAGGAGAGAAATAAACAATGGTAAACTTCACATGCATCATCGTGGTGACATAGAAATGGGTCATCTGTATGTTGCAACACATGCTTTTATCCACTAGGTGTCACTAGCATCACAGGAGAACGTTTGTGGCTTTCAGTGGGTCAGTCTCACCGATCAGGACCACCAGACGGGGCCTCTCATGGGGCCTCTGCTGGTAGCGGGTCACCTCTTCATAAGTCAGGTAGTCGGGGTCTCCAGGATCAGAACCTTCTCCGGAGGATCCTTGCCTGTCTTTACGACTGAGCCGGAAACTCCTCCGTAAACCAGCTACAGCGAGGCCGGAGATGGGAGGGAAAAAGGAGCAGAAAGAAAGTAGGTCTTGGGTCAGATATCATGAACCATAAAATTATTTACACAAGATTACATAACATGAGTTCACTTTCATGATGCAGATATAGTTTTGCATTTAAAGACAGTTATTAGACAAGTGCAGTGAGCAAACATTGAATAAATTCAAGACCAACCCGTTGATAACCATGCATTAAAAAACCTGTGTAAATATTGGATGAAAATAGCTCACACTTAATCTGAAGTTTAAGTACTTGATTGTGTGAGATATTAGCTGAACTTAGAGCCAATCATGCTTCAACTGATTACATGCAGCTGACACTTTATACATCAGGTGAAACTCTTAAAGCCTGAGACTGAGGCAGACTCAATTATAAGCCAAAAAAAAAAAATATGTTTGAATTTATTTAAAAAATTGACTCTTTCAGCAGTTCAAAACAGATTCCAGTTACCTAAAATACACATAATTGTCCAACATTAAGGTCCAAACAAGGCATGCTGCTTTGAACGAGGCTACAGTGCTGAGGCAGGACAGACAGGACAGCCTGGCCCTGAGAAACACCACGTCAAATAGCAGTGAGTGACTGCAAATCAGGGTCTCCCATGGCCAGGACTGTCTGTATCCCCCATCAGTGGTGTGTACCTGAGGGAATGAGCCGGGCACTGTACCTGAATAAAATTCCCAGGAAAACACCTGGCCACAGGAGGGCGCCACTGCTTTACACTTAGGAGAGACTATAACTGGCGTTAGAGCATCACACAACCCAGCCTCACACCTCCACACAGGGTGAACGAGCAGCAAACGTGCCTGGTTGAGTGTGCAATGCGTCCAACGCAGCAGGGCCCTCATGGGGGGGGGCAGGGAGGGGGTTTTGGGGAAGCAGTGCACTGGCCACAGCACAGCAGCAGGGGCAGGGGCAGTTAGTTAGATGCAGGGAGGGAGGGAGGGAGGGAGGTTTAGGAGGATCCAAACACTGCAAGGTGGAGGGGGCGGGCGGAGGGATGGAGAGGGGAGGGGTGTTTTTACAGCTCCAAGCAGAGTGCATGATAGGAAGCACACATACTGTTTCAATGTGTTTGGTGTTACAGAGAGAGGGTGTTTAGATCGCTCCTTGTACTCAACATCATTCCAGCTGCTCACAGGATGTGGGGAAGTAAATGGGGGTCAGGTTGGGCTGAAGAAGGGTGAGGGAGGGGAGGTCAGTGGAAGGCTAGAGAGTATTCCCTCCACCCCAATTTGAATTCAGTAAAGCCTGTTAGTGCAACATAAAATACCCGTCTACATATTTAAATAATAATATATAATAAGTCCCAACAGCAGTTATTGTAAGATTTTACAGGTCTATACTGTCCTAATCATTTATGGGACTTTTTCCTGGAAAGAAACATAATTTGGTACCAAATTAGGAATATTCTCTTTAGGAATAACTCAATTTAAGCCCATGTATACCTACCAATTATTTGGAATTTATTGTACTGAAGACTGTCTCTCTTTGCCCTATAAGTAGCACAAAAGGACATTTCAGGAAATATCCTTAGAAATAATTAGGAAATTATAGACTCCAGCAGCAACATCTTTGCTTCGTTTTACATCTAATACAGTCTGAGTTTGTTTTGCTTCTGTATACTGCGATATCCGACACTTTGAACTATCTGTTGACTCTAATTATGCAGTGGAGGCTCTAAAGAGGCAGATCTGTTACTAGCACCTGCAGAAGTGTGAGACGATACTTCCTACACATCTTTTTTACATTTCTTTCCTTTCACGTTTGATACAAAACAAGTTTGGGGTTTTTCTTCCTACACCTGCACACTTTCCCTTTGCTCAGATAGATCATCATCATCCGTCTTCCTCCTCCGGCATTGTCTTTGACCCCATCTCTTGACCCTTCGAAACCTTCCCCTTATACCTCGACCCCCGGCTCAAGACAGGTTAGATCTACAAGCAGGCATTTTGACCCCTACCCCAAAGCACCCAGGGAACCAGCGCACAGCCAGGCTGCAGCAGGCAAAGAGCAAATAGGGAAAAGGTGGTGGAGAAAGATGTGCACGCTCTCACCTATGTACTGTCCATTGAAATAGCCCTCACAGTCACAGTCCTCTGTAGGGAGGCAAGCAGGGAAAAGAGGGGGTAAGCACAGGGTAAGAGACCTGGAAGAGTTAAGGAGTAGGGGGCAGGTGGAAGAGTTAAAGAGGGGGGGCGGGCCATGGGCGCTGGAGGGAGGGCAGGCGACAGGCAGCAGGCAGGCAGACAGGCGAGAGTGGAGGAGCGGCCGAAAGATAATGAAGGCAACGGCCTCTAACGAAGGCTTGATGGAGAGATTTGACATTACGAGATGAGAAAGGAGAAGAGAGGAGAGAAGAGGAGAAGAGAAAGGTGGCTCTCCTTCATTTGGAAAGGAGCGAGCTGTGAGTCGAGTCTCTGTGACCCACACACACGTAAACAAGCCTCAACTCCCCAAAGACGCACAGCTGAGGTACAAACTGCCTCACATACAGAAAGCCACACACCCACAATCGAAAACAAAAAGAAATGTTGATGGCTACGTCTAAATTCTGTCCTTTCATCAAATCTAATGTGTGACGTTGTGCACTAGAAAATAGAGAAATGATGGCTGGAGAAAGAATTGTCATACAGCACAGAAACGGAAGAGAACAAGATTAAAAACAGCAGCTGAAAATGCAGCAGAGTAAAGATGAGAAGGGGGAAACAGAACAAAAGATAATACGGAGTGAGGATGACGCAAAAGAAAAGCTATTGTTATCTTTAACAACCTCTGCTTGGTTGGGCATAAGTCTCCAGGGATGCTGTACTGCCTGCACATCACCTGGTACACACAAACTAGGCAAAAAAAAATCTCTATTCTGGTCTGGTGCACAACAGCAGGAGGGGAGGAATTAAGCTGGAAGCAGTAAAAATCCCAAATGCATACCCCACTAACACACACACACACACACACACACACACACACACACACACACACACACACACACACACACACACACACACACACACACACCTCTATATACATTTCCAATGTGTGTGTTTTTGTGTGAGGATGTCTAGTGTGTTCTAGAGGAATGCTGTTTGTTGCTGATGTACCCACCTTTATCACATCCTTGGTCATCTGATATAGTTTGCAACAAGGAGAAACAGAGTGTAAAACATTAGCATCGGAGGCGGAGAAGGACAGGTCGTTCTGGTGTAAGATGGCAGATAAAAGAATGAGATTTGGACATTTATGAAATGAGGATTTTCAGATTTTAAATTTGAAGAGTTTTTTTTTCGTGGTCGTCAATGACGTCACAGACGAGCCAAGGGTGTGTGAGTCTGTGTGTGTGTGGTGGCGGGGTCCACATTTAAAGAGCCCCTGCTGGGATTTAGGGGAATTAATCAGAGAGCTGGAGGAGCGTGGAGGGAGGCCGAGACATAAGAGTCACCGCGGGCTTGCTGCTGCGTGGCGTAGCAGGGCTAGCTGCCATATTGCTAAGCTCTTGTTGTCTCCCCGTTGGCTCAGACCTAATCGGATCGCACGCAGCTTACGCGCCACGAAGAGCCACCACTCGCATTACCCACTCACCTGGCCGTTTACACGCCGCCTCTATAGTGTCATGTGAGAAAGTGAGAAGTGTAATGTATTGCTGAGGCTTTGTTTCTCACTGGGCGCAGCTTGTACACACTGTCTGGATCTGCTTAAGCTGAACTGCTCACTGGCCAGATGGACCAAACATGAAAGAGATTAATTCATATCTGTGATCCCTCCCTCCGTCTCTGTGTCCCTCCATCTCTCCCTCACCCCCTTTAAAGCATAGCAGCATGGAGAGGACAGACAATGAATGCTAATGCCTCTGAGAATGCCAATTACCAGTAAAAAAAGGTCAATAAATGTCAATGAAAACATTGCTGTATTTATCCAGTGGACATATTATTGTCCTTGAATGACAGTGAGTACATTAGTGTGGAGAGGAGAGCTGATGGTGAGAGATGCTGCAGGTAGTAAACTGTATTCATGAAACAATGCAGAAAGATGCAGTGGAATCCTGGGAAGCAGAAACTTACAGACAGGCTTTTTAGGGGATTTTGGATTCGGGAGCGTGCCCATTTTCATCCTGTAGGCCAGTCGCCTGGAGGAAAGTGCGGCAGGACAAAGAGTCAAAGAGGATAGAGGCAGGAAGAGAATCATCAGGTCAGAAATACACAGCGAGCGAAAGGCGGGGAGGGAACGTCAGAGAGGTGGAGCTAAAGATTTAAATAGAACACTTATGAACATTATGAGACAACGGGCCAATGGGCACAGACATGTGAAAGGCCCCCCACCCTCTCCTACGTAAGAGTAAGACCCCCCAAACTGAAAGAGAAAGAAAGGCTACAAACCATGTGGTTGGTTTATGTGTCTTTGTGATTGTTTTGTGTCACTTTGCAGTCATTTAGAGTCTTTCTGTGGATGGTTCATGTCTCTTTATGGTCATTTTATGTGTCTTTGTTTCTATTTATGGTCAATTTGGGTCTCTTTGCAATCGTCTCTTTTGGTTGTTTTGTGTCCATTCACAGTCATTTTGCACCTCTTTGTACACATTTAATTAACTTTCTATCAAGGAACAGTCGCTTCAAACAGAGGCTCAGTGCCTGGTAGGCCTGTTCGGGAACACAACACTGTGTGGTGTCATGCTGCATTTAAAGACATTCTTTCTGATTCATCATTGTTGTTAGAGCTCAGCAGGAACCAACAACATCAGCAGAAATGTGTTATTTCATCCTAAACATTTATTCAACATGCAAAACCCCATATTAGGGCTTTTCAGAGCTTGGCTACCCTCTGACCTGTGTCTTTTTCTGTGTTTAAGCTGTGGTTATTAATCCAGCAGACGCCGCAGTGTTTGGCAGGGGTCTCCCCGCCTGCTGAGATTGCTTACTGACGGATTATGACACCAACAGTAAAAGCATTTGCCTATTCAAGGCTGCGTTTTCATTTATTTTTTTCCACACTGCTTCGATGCTCCATCTAATGATAGTTGACCCCTCAAAGTGGAACACATGAATGTGGATTTAACAGATTACAAATGGCTGGATAAAATAAATATCAGCACTGTGTGGGTGAGCCGTACAGTGCTGGCGCTGATTAGTTTACACCACAGGTTGTTCATGTGAAGTGTGCGGATGCATGATGTGCTACCCGTCTCCTCCTGGGTGCTCTCACCTCTCCTGGAACTGTTTGGAGGGGACGAGTCCGGCCCGCAGGTTGCTGTCTCCCACACGCTTGGCCTGCCACCACGTGGGGTCGTCCTGGGTCACGATCTGCAGGATGTCTCCCCGCTTAAAAGGAAGTCCCGCTTCTTGGCAAGGCGTCGCTTTGTCTTCCAACGGGATGTAGTCGAACAAGGCTCTCACGTACACCTAGAATCACAAACAAAAAGCAAAAAAACATATTTAGATAAATATTATTGTAAACATGGACAAAGCGGTTTATCTGAGTTGCATGAACCTTTCACTGAGCATGCTCAGTCACTCACACTTCACCTCACCTTGCTCTCCTTCAGTCGGTCCTCTTCTTTAATGGCAGGGATTATCTTTAGAGTGATGGAGCCCTGGGACTGGGACTAGATCACAAATAGACAGAGTAAGCAGGGGAGAGAGGATTGCGACTGTAGCCTCTAATTAAAGACAAACACCACTTAAAAAGAACCCCGAGGTGGATTAAATCTCTTTTAGTTTACCACTGCTTCTGTCTGAGGCAAATACAGAGAACTCTGTTTATTATTAAACAAAACATGGGCTGAGCATTTCAGTCATTATCCAAAAGAAAAACCATGAAGTATTCAGCATTCAACAGATTGAACGGATGCACATGACTTTACTGTCATGCAATTCAAAATACTACTTTATAAAACATAGTATGGAACTGATGCAATAAATAATAAATAAAATACAACAGGAGCTTCTGACTGTGACAGATACATCAGTGAGTTTAGACACTTTATAGGCATTAATGGTGATGGCATAACATTTCTCTTTTTTAATGGTATAACGGCGATTCAGGACACAGACTGAGTTGGACTAAGAAAGGTAGTTTTTTTTTCTGATCTTTGAGTCACACTGAGTGAAGTTTAGGGTATTGCACCGCCACACTCGGATGTTGATGGCAATGTTCTTTATCAAAGTCAATGGCATGCATGAATCATACAGCAATAACAGCCTAAATTAACACATGATATGGGATGATACAGAAAAATATAAATGCATGGCAAAAATAGCATTTTGTCAATATTGTAAGTTTGAGCCCCCCAAACTTCATAAATCATGTTTTCGGGGCAGCTTATGACTTATTAAGTGGAACCAAGCTCCCCAGAAGTTTGCACCCTGCATAAAAAAGGCCTGATTTAAACTGCTTTGATGCAGTTGGATCAGATTCCTTTTCCACTTATAATTACTAATATTATACATACTGTACATGAATGCATAAGTATGATATAAGGGGCTTCTCAGAATCTATCCTGCTAACTCTTATTTCCATTGATTCCACAAGTAAGCGACACCGTTTTCCTTAAACTAAAAAGTGCAAATTATACACATTAAAATATTGATCTTGAACTGAAAATGATGATTCATCTGGAAATATATTCTTGCAACCAGTCTTCATTTTTTGTGAGTTGATCTACTGTATGCCAGCATTTCTTTGAACACAGATATTACAGCAGAACTGTCCGTCTCACCAGCAGCTGACTGATCTCATCAGGTCTCTTGTGGATCACAGAGACTCCGTTGACCTCCCTGAGTTCATCTCCTACATGGACCAAACCTGCGAGGGGGAGAGACGGTAAATGAATGCGCAGACTCGAGTGCATCAATGACGAAGTGATTTCACTGATCTGGGTCTTTGGGGTTTATCAGACGTATCTCAACATCAGTATCGTTGTCAGATCCACAGATACGGGCTGCCTCCGTCCTCAGCTGTGATCTATTTAGCTGCTGCCACAACATTGAAATCAAAAGGCTAAGAGAAGTCAGATCAATACGCTTATTCCCTCAGGACAGAGCAGCACATAGCAGACACGCTATGTGCAATCATACATATATGATGTATTCACAGCAGACGTACAAAGAGACTCAGGCTAATTCTGAAATCCTTCTACAGCTCCCGTCTCCACTAACGAGAGCTCTTTCCATCACTTGACGCAGCAAGAAAACGGAGGAAGACATAAATGATTAATGGATACACTGATTGGTTTACTTTCCCAGCATGCATGTTACTAATGCCAACACACACACACACACACACACACACACACACACACACACACACACACACACACACACACACACACACCTGCATGTGGCAGATATTTCCATGGTAACGCCCATGAAAGGATCTTTGCTGAGTCTATATGGTGCGATTGATTCTCTGGGGACTCGAGGAGAGCTTTGGATTTCAGCAACAACCGAAGCATCCCTCTCATTTCTCTCCTCCTGCTGCATCTCTCTCTCACTGTGGCTTTGATCTCACTGTCACTAGAGTATCAGGTTTTGAGTTGTTATCCCATACACATATGCATATTCTTTTGTGAGAGTGTTTCATTGAAACCGTCACACTGCTGTAAAAAAAAACAAACAAAAAAAAAAAAACAGGAGCCTCCTGGTAGCTCGGCTTCCTGTGGGCTGTGCCACATTACTGCAATGTGCTGGCTGTCGTCCATGCAGGGAACAGTCTTTCCTATTTCTTGATTTATCTATATAGCAAAAATGTCCCAAAAGGTCATCTTTAACATTAGCCGCTGATATTTAACGTGGTGATTTGCACATGTGGAAGGGTCTGAACGAAGAAACAGATGAGCACACCTGTACAGGTCAGTGGTTGCCAACCTTTTCTGATTGCAACCTCTTAAAAGGACCAGTGTGTGGAATTTAGTGGCCTCTAGCGGGGTAGTTATCCCTTTCTACACCCTCCCCTTCCAAGCAAGAAGAAGAAACATAGTGGACACATACCTATGAATGTTATATTCAATTTCTGACAATAGATTCTCATAAATGTCACACACTGGACCTTTAATTCAAATCAATATCTGCTTGTGACACCTCGTCACAGTGTGCAGTGTAAGTGGAGCTGCAGCTACAGAGCACTGAAATCATGTTCTCCTTATCATTTGTAGGAATTCTGGGGGTTTTAATGACCCAGTGTGTAAGATTTAGTGGCATCTAGCGGTGTAGGTGCATTGCATGGAATTGCAGACCATTTCATTAGAATAATTTTTAAAGCCCTTCAGAGGTAACATGATACACTATTTCACAAGAAACACTGTAATTTTGTGTTGAATTAATTTTTGTCCTCATTTCCTACCTATTACCTTTTAGATTAATTCCACTCCCTCGTCTGTGTTGGGGCCCTAAGGTTGAGAACTACAAGTACAGAAAGCCCAGAGGAACAAAGAGAGAAGTATAATTTACCACTTCGGTCAGCTGCACCTCCTCTCATTATCCGAGCCACGATTACCGCCCCGGTGGCGTCGTCCCGCCTGATGGTGGCTCCCTGGAGCACAGACAGAAGAATATGATCATTAACAGAAAAGAGCAAAGGTCTCTGTTCTCCTGCAGACTCTTATGTTCTCTTCTCTCCTCTCATCCATCACAACCCACCAGAGGCTCCTTGTTCTTCACCAGCCTGACAATCTTCACCGACTCTTCCTCCAGCTCGTCCTCGAAGTCGTCCGGCAGCGGCGGCAGCACGGGGTCAAAGTTCTTCTGAGCTACAGTGTCGTGAACCGACAGAACGGCCTGATGGGACAGGAAACAGACGTGCTGAGATTACACTGCTGACGTTGTGCGTGCAGAGAGCGGCCTCTGACATCTGCCAGAATCAGGGAGCAGCCTCAGAGATGAAGTTACAGTCTGATGTTGGTGTAAATAAAACATCTGATAGGAGAAACGGCCTCATGAGTGTACACCAGCGCCACATCTCGTCCTGTGCGTTTACCTTGAGATGTGGTGATGTCAGCAGGTGCAGCAGCTCCTTCTCCTCGGTGCTCATCGGTCCACTCTGCAGCTCCTCTGCCACCTGCCCATCATAAAACATACATGAACCGTGAGCCATGGCCCAGTGTGAACCTCTGCATGTGTATACCAGTAATGACCAGTGCCATTTACTGTGGAATAAATGCATGTAGCAGAAGATAAGTAGCGAGCAGCTGAGGTCAGCAGCTTCTCCCACTGATGACTGGTGAGAGCGAGAGAGCAGCAGGATATGGAGTTTCATTAGATGAGCGGGATGATTCAGCACTTTGAGAACATTAAAATTCACTTTTGATACCTGCGTTGCTTCTCTGTGGGAGCTAACTCATTGTGACTGACTGCTGTGCCCAAGTGGAAAAGTAATTTGGGGTGTGTGTGTGTGTGTGTGTGTGTGATGAACTTACATCCTCTGCCAGAGAAGAGGCACTGTGGAGGACGGGTGTTGGACTCTGTCTCTCGTACTGTCTCAGCTTCTCATGAATCTGTAATACAAACAAAGATTTACAGTTTATTAGAGGAGAGACTTTCATAAGAATGCAGGTTAAAGGACCAGGGGCACCTAAGGGGGAAGGGGGAAAATACCCAAAAAAAAAACCCCCAGAAATGGAAAAGGAAAAAAGAGGTTAAGTGTAGAAGAAAAAAAAAAAAAAAAAAAAAAAAAAAAAAAAAAAAACCCCCAACAAAATTTTTTTTTTTTTTTTTTTAATTTTTTCCCTCCATTTTATACTACTTCTTTTCCTCCCTTTCCCTTTTTTTGTTGGGGAAAAAAAAAAAAAAAAAAAAAAAAAAAAAAAAAAAAAAAAAATTTGTGCAGAAAAACAAGAAGCACTCAGAACTCACGGCTCCATTAAGACTGCAAAAACCTTGAAATGTATTATTGTAATTTTTTGTTAATTTTAGTAGTTCATTAAAAAATACAGAAGACGTTATCAAATCAAACAATCCCGATCTGCACCGAGAACTAAATGGTTTTCTTCCTTTCTACAAATATCACTGAAATCATCTATTTTGAGATATCTCCCTTAACAAACACCTTAACAAAACAGCAATTAACAAATGGGGGCCACAAAAGTACCTTCTTGATAGAGGACTATCAAGGGAGGTACAGACAAGGAATAGACAAAATTTCCACTCAAAATGGTCGGTACAAGGAATGAATACATCAAAACGAACCCATCAGCTAGATTGATGTGTGTTTTTTTTATCTTTAAACACTATGAATATAGAAGGAATACTATGAAGCCTTGGAGTGTTTCTCTTCTTACAGTGTCTTTGGATCATCCCACAGTTGCTGCCTATGACGGTCTTCAAAAACAACTGTCCATTGGACCTCTCTAACGCCTGAGTGAATGTAACAGTACATAGCTGCGTTTTAGATCTACATGTAAATAATGATTGTTGCTCATGGAGTCTGAAGGAGTATCAACCTTCATGAGGTATCCCAAGCTCCTCTCACTGAAGACATCTTTGAGGAAGACCATGTCCTCTTTGTGATTGGCATCGGGACGCAGCTGAGAGGTCAGCAGGGCCAGCGTTTCATGTAGCCCTACAGAGGGGAGGAATGAGAAAACCCATCATGTAGATTAACATGAACAGATGGAGCACGGCGAGTGTCGAGCAGTATGGACAGTATGTGTTGAGCATCTGTGCCAACTCATCTCACCCGCTCCTGCTGTGAGGACCGGCATGGCTTCTTTCATGGGTCAGTGAGGTGAGGGAGGGGAAACCTGGCAGGAGGAGAAAGAGAGAAATTAGAATCTCCATACAGATGCTGACGGTTCAGTTTCTGAGAGCTCTCACTATCTGGGTGGATTAAAAACAACTTCCACTTCTCACAAAAAGGTAAAAAGAGAAGGGCAATGTGTTTGTGTGAGCATGTACGACATCTGGAGACCTATGTACAGTTATTATAGCCATATATCATCTTCTTGTAGACTCCATGCTATAAATCCAGGCTGCATTTCCCATTTTGCAGTGCAGCGACCTCATCTGCGAATGTGTAGGTGTGTATGCGTATGTCTGCTTGCATTATAGAGCCGCGCTAGTAAGATAAACAGTCACAGCTCATACTATTAATCACACAGACTCTCACCGCGCCCTCTGAGCCCTGTGTTGGTGTGTATGAGAGCAGGAGAGTGGGATAATCTGGCATATACCTGTCAGAAATAACTACAACGCTGCGTCACACAACTCTAGAAATTAATTAAACTGTAGGATGGACTGTAAGCCATTTCACATGCAACTGAATACTAATGATTTCAAGGCAACTGTCTTCACAAAATTGATTAAAAGATTCAAACTTAAATTTTAAAACTTAAATAGATTTGTGTTTTTCTGAAGGAGAAAGGTAAGAGAGTCAAGAGTTTGAATTTGACTTAAAACCTTAAAGACGACAGCTGCCTAGAAAGTATTTGTTTTCTTAACTTTTTCTTTACATTTGCAATGCCAGTCCAAGTTTTTCTTTATTCAGGAACTTTCTATCAGTATTTTGGAACATAACAGGACAAAGTAGATCAGTGAACTAGTATCTGCAGTCTGCAGCCGCTAGCAGCTCTGTGAGTCAACAGACGCTTTGACATAATGCTTACATAAGAGGTGGAGTTTTGTCTGTCCTATCTTTACTTGAGTATTTATTTTTCTGACAACTCTTTATTATTATTACCCTCTATATTTGTACACAAATACCTGTACTCTCTACTAATTTCAAAACAGGCTCATTACTTTAGTTTTTATGCATTTTAGGGGAATTATCCATTTTTACTCAAGCAAAAGTACAGATACTTTAGTAACAAGTTAAAAGTGCTATTTTTCTAACTTTTTTTGTACTTGGTTACTTTCCACCTCTCTTTGAAAGTGATTTATATGTCTTTATGTTCTTAAAAAAAACAAAGAAAAAATTATCTGCATGATGGACTAAACAAGATGTTAACAGATTTTCTGTAGTACTTACACACTGTAAAACCAGATTTAACTGATTACACTGAAAATGTCAAGTAAAACCAACTCCATTATATTGAATATAATAGTAGCTTTAGTAATTTTAAGTGACACCAACTTAATTTTGTCATTTCATTTGTACTGTGAAAACAAAATACCTAGTAAAACGTTCTTAATCAGGATTATTTTTTAATTTACAAAACTGAGTTTGTCTTACTTTACTAAATTTAAATATAATCCATTTCAGTTGTTTTATTTTGTTCAAATAATTTGCATTACAGGGCAGTACTGTACAGTAACTTTCCATATAGTCACATGCTGAGAGATCTATGAGAGCCTCAAAGATTCAGTCGGCTGAAGCGCTGCACAGACTGCCGGATTATCGCAGCCTCTACCGATCAATATCCCTGTCACTCCACTCAATATTCTGCATACTTCCTCCCACTGGAAACACAAATCAATAACAGAAACCACAGACTCCATCATATCACTCTATGGTCCGATGACGAAACAGCACAAAACACCACAAAGCCAAAACAATACAAAACAAAGCTGCAATGAAGAGTTTTAACATTTTCAGTTATTTTATCACTCAAGCTCTGCTGGAGGAGTTTGGATTCATAATGATGTTGTTGTGTCAGGATATACAGAATAAATAAGCAGGTAAACATGGCCTAGTCTGTCTATGTCTACAGTACAAACTGCATTATATAATCACACACCACTGACGCATTTACTCTAGTGAAATATTGACAGAAATTGTATTCAGACTGTTTAGAGAAGAGGCAGAGGCCCATTTGCTTAACCTGTCTGTCGGTAGGCGCGTGTCTGCTTTGCATGTGTAAAATAAACATAAGATTTGTAAGGGATGTAGTCAGTATAGTGCTGTTTATGTTACAGTGTTCATCACCCTATGGATGCCTGCCATAATGATGCATCTATTTATATTGTGCATTACCTTGTACAAAGACTGTAGAGCTTATAGCAATAAGTGTACATGTTGTTTAGTTGTAACTCCATGTGTGGTTGGTTAAACATGTAGATTTGTCTTTGTTTTGTAATGATAGATTTGAGATGTTTGTGAATAATTGTTCAAAAAGTTGCTACAGAAAGAGACAATCAACAAGCTTTTCATAAACACAATAAGGCTACGTTCACACTGCAGGCACAAGTCATCCAAATCTGATGTTCTTTTGCTCATGTGTGACTCAGATCTATTTGTTTGCAATGCAACCTCAGTGTGAACAGTCATATCAGAAACCATGTGACTTTTATGTCACTCTAGATCTTTTGTGATGGAGGTCACTTCAGGATCGTGACCTGTTCACACTGGAATCAGATATGGGCCACATTTAAAAAAAGCAATGTGAACAGCCAAAACAAAAAGAATCAGATCTGAGTGCTAAGGTTTGCAGTGTGAAGGGAGCTTAATTAGGATTTCAGAAGGTTATTGAGACAATGATTTATGTTTATTAAGAATACTGCTTATTTGTTTAAACGAATGACAAAATCAAACTTGCTACGACTTCTTAAGGAACTGAGTTGCACTTGATTGTTAATTTGACGAGATGAGCTGTTCTGTATGCTGAGTTTATGTGGTTACACTGTGAAAAAAAGTTTTTAAAAAGTCTTGTTTCTGGTAAATCAGTCTTATTTTTGGTTTAAAAAGAAATCTTGTCAAGCATGTTTTGCATTAGAAAAGTAGTCTTGTTTGTCTGTGTCTTAAAAAGATATTACAGCTAATGTTGAGCTAGATTGAACCAGTAAGAAGTTACAACAATGATTTGCATGATATCACAGCAGAGGAACAAGATTATTTTCTTTATTTTAAGAGTAAGACCACTTTCACAGAGTTGTCTTGTCCCAGTGTTGGAATTGAAGCAGCTGTTTTGTTTTCATTGTTTTAATACAAAATGTTAATTAATAATAAGAATGTTCTGGTGCCTTCATTTAAGACAAAGTCGCTTATTTTTATTATGCTGAAATTGTGTCTTATTGTAATATTTTCTGGCTAATTATTAGTCTTTGAAGGTACAAATTCTTAAATCAGCAAGTGACCAAGAAAGTGACCAAAATACTGTCTATCTTACATAACTGAGTTTTCATTGCTTGTAATAAGCAAAACTTGCTTAAACTTTTTAAGGCCCATTTAAGGCAAATTTTATGCTAGTTTTAGGAATTCCAGCCAAGAAAAATTTACTTACCCCATTAGATTGTTTTGCTCAATACAAGAAAATATGATTATATTTATGAATATGTAGCTGGTTTCTAGCAGCGTATAGGTGCCAATATGGATCCTAATAAACAAACAATCTCTGCAGACAGGAGACAAAACAACCCATCAATGCAACACTGCACTGGCTTGTGACCTGTAAGAAGAGCATGCCAACCAGTGCTCAGTATTACAAGCTATGGATAAATGTGCTGGAGAAGCAGGTGTGTAGCAGATAACGTGAGGCTTACAGTCAGCAGGGTTAAGACCACGGGGCTACAGCAGGCAGATGGTCCGAACAGAAACAATGCTGGAAACAACTCATACAGAATCTAGTTCATCGTGGAGCTAATGTGAAACAGCTGTGCAGACAGATGGGCAGGTAGTTTATAGGAGCAGCAGACTCTGCAGTGGCAGCTAGAGGCCAGGTGAGGAAATGCAGGTCTGAGATCATAAATGGAGACGAAGTAAACAGGGGAAGAGGAGTCAGAGGAGGAGGACAGAGCCGATAATAGAGTGCCAGTTTATCCCAAACAAGATGAGAAAGGCAGGAGTTTCTGGAAACATGGAAACTAAAAGGCAAACAGTTACATAATTAAGAAAAAAGTGAACGGTAATCCAATCATTACGAATTTAAAATACATTTTAAAATACAGATTGACACACTGCCATGCACATAAGTCTTCACAAGTCTCACAACGCCACTCTGGTCTCAAGTGAAACCATCTTACAGTTGTCAGTTCATTATCGTGGCCTCTGGTGAAAGAAATGCTTTCACCGGCTGTAAGTTCAGCCATTATTTTGTCATCAAGGCAGAAAAAAGGGAACATCACAGCACCGTGCAAGCTCTACCCTCCAGCTGTGAAAATGATCTATAGGCTACTGCCTGAAGTTCTTCTTTAAAAATACTGAGAGGACGTTTTATGATGCTAAAAATCTTTCTCTTTTAAGGTCACATTGTTCTGTTGTCTTAATACACATTATTATTGATATTTCTTTTCTTTTGTCTTTGTTTGAATATTTGGTGTTGAGGTAATCAAGTTTAATTTAATGTAATATTTGAATACTGTGATACTTGGATTAGGTTACTGATCATGTTTTAACAGGTAATGAGTCTTGTTGTTGGATAACATTTTTAAAATAACCCAACCCTGCTAATATCATTTTAAACCTCTTAAATGAAAGGCTACAATGTCTCAGTTTGCTTTGATTAATGAATACATGAAATCACATTTATACAGGATTGTACTCATCAAGATAGTAACAGTAGCAGAGGCTTGTTATAATATTTTATAATTTGGTAATCACTTAAGTTCACAGAGTTCGTCCAATACTCTGCGACTACCAATTGCTAAATTTAAAACTAAACATTACACCTACTAAACATCATCATGTTAACATGAATGTGACAGGTTTGCATGGCTGTAGACTCCTAGTCTCATTATATATTATCATCCATTCACATTGTCCACAGACTCACAATTTGAGAGGATTTTGTCAATCAATAATCAAACTAGGATCACTATAAGCAATCAAACTGGCCAATCCTATGTCTTCCCTTCCCTCCCTAATATTTCT